TGTTGTATTTGTAGAGTTTCCCACAAGACACTCGATTTGAAATACGGTTTGTACGGCTCGGGAGACACGCAATGGTTCCCCTTGGATTCCATCCAGCCCAGCAGCAGCCCAGGTCGGGTGGCGAGCAACGCCGCCTGGCTTTGGCGTGTGCGCTGGCTGGTGAGGCCAGGCTACCCTGGCTGGCGAAGGGTAGTGAAGGGGTGGTGCAAAAATCAGATTTGTTCAAAAAAAAGTCATATTGATCATATTGATAAGCATTAACAACCATATAACCGAACGAAACCTTGTGGATGTGTCTGAAAATGGGGTATACCACCAAAATGACTATCGCATGTGAAATATATATATATAGATATATAGAAATATGATGCTGAACCAATGGTTTTGGGATTCCCCATTCTCAGACAAACCCAATGTCTCAGAGAAAACGATGGGAAATGTACAGCATTATATTGATTGTTTGAGATAATAAATGTGTATATATAAGTATATACACAAAAAAAACATGCATTTGGGACCCCAGGAATTTCAGTTTTCACTGAAAAAATGAAGGGATCATGACCAGAATATCACAGTCAAACATATCAACTATACTTTTTTGACATTTTCTGTGGGTTGTTGTGTGCCTGAAGTCAGCTATGATTGAACCAAGAAATCGGATACGGAGAGAAACCCGTCAGGGTTCGTTCTCCCTATGTGCAGTGGATCTGTTCGTTTTTGTCTCCCCGGTACACTTCCTGTTCTTTACCTTCATCCTTGGGAGAATCGATCAGTTAACATCCTAGCTTTGGGGTTCACATGCACCTAGCTATAGGAGGCTCATGACAAGCTCATTTCATTTTGGAACCTCCTCAGGGGGAACCTAAACTTCAGGATGATGCGGCTCAGCTGAAAGCTCTACTGGCGGACGAGCCAACCACCGGATTGGACCCCGGATGTGTTTGATTCCTGAAATCTGGATTCCTGCAAGGCAAGATGGCAATGGATAATCAAGAGCACGGGGTCGCTATGTCTAAACAATGCAATTATATCAATTTTATATATATATATACACCTGGAGAACCAAAGCCCTAAGAATTCTTCGGGTCAACGCAAGAACCTGAGGTATTTCCGAAAAAAAAAGAAAACCTCGGTTTTCGATTGAAGACCTCGGGTATTGATTTTGAACCCGTACTCCCGACTACCCAAGTCGTGGCGAAATCCCAAACATCTTGAAATTAGCTTGGGGGAAGGCTTTTGTGGAAGTCGTGGCGATGCGGCGTTTAGCTTGTGTTTAGGGTAGGTTGCGTTTAGTTATGTCAAGGAAGGGCAGGTTTGCGGCTTGCGGGCCAAAGTCCATGTGTGTAGATGCGGGGCTTTTTCCGTACCTCGTTTTGGACCTCGTTTTTTTCCTTTATCAGAATCCATCCTGCAGTATACAAACTACTAAGACCACAAAAAGCAGATATTTGCACTTCAGGCACTTAATGAACTTATAAGTATACTATAAGTTACTATTATCCTCCTAATATCTTGTTTAAATATGAGATCTGAAAATATGTTCTTTTAAGTTCCTCTAAATTTTTAGGTGAACTTATAACATAATAATGAAGATATAAGCAAATATAGGCGGTTATTATTTGCAAGTAAGTTAAACGAAGCGAAAATAAGTGAAAATAAGTGAAAATAAGTGAAAATAAGTGAAATAAGAGAAAATAAGGATGTTTTCTTTTTTTCGGCATTTTTCATGGATGATTTACAGGAATGTAGATGTGATCGGATACTGCCTGGAAAGAGTTTCTTTTGTAGGGAACAGTTCTCTGCAGGATACTGCCTGGAAAGATTTATTTCTTTAGGGAACAGTTCTCTCAAGGGTACTGCCTGTTTTTTTTTTATTTTTCTGGTAGGGAACAGTTCTCTGCCGGTTACTGCCTGGAAAAATATTTTCTTATAGGGAACTATTCTCTGAAAAATACTGCCATATTTTTTTTTTGGTGGTATAGTTCCTCCCAAGAAAAAAATGTTTTGTGTTAAGAACATTTCCTGTGAAGGATCGTTTTTGGAAATGTCATGAAGTTTTAAAAGAATAGATAAAGTTCTGGAGTGCATGCTTCCTGGATATGAAACGATGTCAGGCTAAAAAATTCTCTCAACAACCTTTCTTGCACAGAAGAAGCAAAGAAGCTTAGAGTTGCAGCTGCAGAAAAAAAATGCAAGAATGAATCAAACTGTTGAAAGTCATCTTCATCTGCTTCTGGCAACTTTGACACATTGGCATGAATATGATGAACCAAAAGAAGAAAAATCAAAAATTTAGATTCTCTTTCTTTTTTGGTTTTCTAATTTTTCTGGATTCTAACTTGTTTTGGCTAGATTTTTTGAATTCTATTTTTTTAGGTTTTCTACAAAAATATGGATTCTATTTTCTTTAGGATTTTCTAAATTGTCTGGAGCCTATTTTTCTTTGATTTCCTGAATTTTCTGGATTCTATTGTTTTTTGTTTTTATATTTTTTCTGGATTCTTTTTTTTTTTAATTTCTGAATTTTCTGGATTCTGGATTTTCTATTTTTTCCAGATTCCATTTTTTTTTGGTTTCTAAATTTTCTGGAATCTAGATTTTTAAGATTTCTGAATTTTCTGGATTCTGAATTTTCTATTTTTTCCAGATTCTTTTTTTTTGGTTTCTAAATTTTCTGGAATCTAGATGTTTAAGGTTTCAAATTTTTCTGGCTTCTGAATTTTCTAAATTTTCTAGATTCCAGTTTTTTAGTTTCTAAATTTTCTGTTTTTTTTTAGATAAATTTCTGAATTTTCTGGGTTCTGGATTTTCTATGTTTTCCAGATTCTATTTTTGTTTGTGGATTTTGAATTTTCTGGATTTTCTGAATTTATTGAATTTTCTGAATTCTGAATTTTCTGAATTTTCTGAATTTTCTGGGTTTCTGAATTTTCTGAATTTTCTGAATTTTCTGAATTTTCTGAATTTTCTGAATTTTCTGAAATTTCTGAAAATTCTGAATTTCTAAATTTTTGAAATTTTCTGAGTTTTCTGAATTTTCTGAATTTTCTGGATTCTGAATTTTCTAGATTCCTTTTTTTGGTTTCTAAATTTCTGGAATCTAGATTTTTAAGATTTCTGAATTTTCTGGATTCTGAATTTTCTAGATTCTTTTTTTTTGGTTTCTAAATTTTCTGGAATCTAGATGTTTAAGGTTTCAAATTTTTCTGGCTTCTGAATTTTCTAAATTTTCTAGATTCCAGTTTTTTAGTTTCTAAATTTTCTGTTTTTTTTAGATAAATTTCTGAATTTTCTGGGTTCTGGATTTTCTATGTTTTCCAGATTCTATTTTTGTTTGTGGATTTTGAATTTTCTGGATTTTCTGAATTTATTGAATTTTCTGAATTCTGAATTTTCTGAATTTTCTGAATTTTCTGGGTTTCTGAATTTTCTGAATTTTCTGAATTTTCTGACTTTTCTGAATTTTCTGAATTTTCTGAATTTTCTGAATTTTCTGAATTTTCTGAATTTCTGAATTTTCTGAATTTTCTGAATTTTCTGAAATTTCTGAAAATTCTGAATTTCTAAATTTTTGAAATTTTCTGAGTTTTCTGAATTTTCTGAATTTTCTGGATTCTGAATTTTCTAGATTCCTTTTTTTGGTTTCTAAATTTCTGGAATCTAGATTTTTAAGATTTCTGAATTTTCTGGATTCTGAATTTTCTAGATTCATTTTTTTTGGTTTCTAAATTTTCTGAAATCAAGATTTTTAAGATTTCTGAATTTTCTGGATTCTGGATTTTCTATTTTTTCCAGATTCTTTTTTTGGTTTCTAAATTTTCTGGAATCTAGATTTTTAAGATTTCTGAATTTTCTGGATTCTGAATTTTCTGAATTTTTGGATTTTCTGAATTTTCTGAATTTTCCAGAAACTATTCAATACAGAAACTGTCAATTCCTTAAATTATATTTTCCAGAAACTGTTCACTACAGAAACTGTTTTGTCCTTAAATTATATTTTCCAGAAACTGTTCACTACAGAAACTGTTCTTTCCTTAAATTATATTTCACAGGAAGTTTTCACTACATAAACTGTCCTTTCCTAACAGTATACCTTACAGAAACTATTCACTACAGAAACTGTCCTTTCCTTAAATTATATTTTCCAGAAACTGTTCACTACAGAAACTGTTTTGTCCTTAAATTATATTTCACAGGAAGTTTTCATTACATAAACTGTCCTTTCCTAACAGTATACCTTACAGAAACTATTCACTACAGAAACTGTCCTTTCCTTAAATTATATTTTCCAGAAACTGTTCACTACAGAAACTGTTTTGTCCTTAAATTATATTTCACAGGAAGTTTTCACTACAGAAACTGTCCTTTCCTTAAATTATATTTCATAGGGGGTTTTCATTATAGAAACTAACCTTTCCTTAAGTTATATTCATCAGAAACGGTTCACTACAGAAACTGTCCTTTCCTGACAGTATACCTTACAGAAACTGTTCACTACAGAAACTGTCCTTTCCTTAAATTATATTTCACAGGAAGTTTTCAATATAGAAACTGTCCTTTCCTTAAATTATATTTCCCAAAAACTGTTCACTACAGAAAGTGTCCTTTCCTGACAGCATACCTTTCCTGAAAGAAAGACAAAACATATCATTTATTCCAAAGGAAAAAAAACCGACGGCTAATTTCAAAAAACGTATAAAAGAAAAATACATCGTCTATAATCAAATCTGATCCTAAAAAAATAAGTGAAAATAAGTGAAAATAAGTGAAAATTAGTCAAAATAAGGAAAAATCACTTCTATGATAAGTTCATATAACTACTAATATCTTCATTAAGTGCCTAAAGTGAAAATATCTGCATTTTGTGGTCTTAGTAGGCAAAGGGCCTGCTTCGCATTTTTGTTTGTGGGCGTCAACAGTGCCCACGAAAAAAGGCCCGTTGGAAACCGGCGTTCCGATGGGATTCGACCAAAAACGAATAGAACCATGATAGTTTGGTCAAGGCTTGTTAAAGCTGGCGTTTCCAATGGGGAAAGGGGTTTTGCAAGGTCTGTGCCGGGACAGGGGTCGTGGCGAGCGTTTTGATTGGGAATAGCTGTCAAACGCAAACATTGCAAGGACTTTGGCGTATGGGTGTACTTAACCCGTACTTAACCCGTACCTAACCCGTACTTAACCCGTACTAACCCGCACCTAACCCGTACTTTCAGGATGGGTTTAAATATACCGGGTTTTGTCAGAAAAGCTCGGGTCTCTTTCAAACCCTAAGATTTGTGCGGGTTTTGGTTCTCAAATGTTCTCAAGGTATATATATATTATTATTATTGTTATTATTATTACTATTATTATTATTAGATAATTATAATTATATTGTTATAATATAAGTAATGTACTATACTATAATATATATATATATATTTGTGTATCCCGGCCCCTCCAGCAGCAGGACACGTTCCAAGCCGCCGAGATGGTACAGCTCTTGGCTGAGCTGGGTCAGAGTCGCCAGTGCGCTACCATCATGTGCCTTGAGAGAAACGTGGTTATCTACGGTTTATGGTTGTTTGCGGTACATTCAATTAACATTTATTAATAGGGGTGAAAAACCCAAGTATATGTGTTTTTATACTCAAGTTGATGCAAGGTGATGCTCCCCTTTGTAACTACCGTAGATGGACGAAATATTCAAACCCCTTCTATCCTGTACAACCCCTTCGCCCCCAAAGTTCAATGTTATTGTAACCTGAAATGCGTTAGCCCCAATGGACGAAAAAAATCAAACCCCTAACATCACTTTTGCTAACGCGCGCGATGAAACATTGAGATTTGGGGGTGCGGGGGTTCAACATATTGCGTGCTGCAGGGTTTGAATATTTTGTCCATCTACTGTCTGGTTCTCTGATGTTTTCACATCTTTTGGTCTCCAAACTCTGTTGTGGAAACATCAATGTGCATGCTGCTGATCTTATTCCAAACTGCGCAAAACATTGGCTTTTCACAAGTAAATGCCTCCTGTCTGTCTCCCGTCCCATTTTTTTCTATTCCCTAATTCGCAACTTATTCCTAAGTGCACAAAACATTGTGTTTTCACAGGTAAGTGCAACCTTTGTGCCTCCCGTCCCATTTTTTTCTATTCCCTAATTCGCAACTTATTCCAAACTGCAAAAAACATTGTGTTTTCACAGGTAAATGCTGCATGTGTCTCTCGTCCCATTTTTCCCTATTCCCTAATTCACAACTTATTTCAACATGCGCAAAACATTGTGTTTTCACAGGTAGATGTGCATGCCTCTCTCGTCCCATTTTTTCCTATTCCCTAATTCACGACTTATTCGTTTGACGTGGCCCTGCCAATGGATTTTGCAACTTGAACAGCATGAGACAGCTCCTAAGTAAAAAAGGAAATATTTTTCTCTTAAAAAGAAGCAGCACGTCACAAATGACATAATCCATTGGCAGGGCCACGTCAAACGAATAAGTCGTGAATTAGGGAATAGGAAAAAATGGGACGAGAGAGACATGCACATCTACCTGTGAAAACACAATGTTTTGCGCATGTTGGAATAAGTTGTGAATTAGGGAATAGGAAAAAATGGGACGAGAGACACATGCAGCATTTACCTGTGAAAACACAATGTTTTTTGCAGTTTGGAATAAGTTGCGAATTAGGGAATAGAAAAAAATGGGACGGGAGGCACAAAGGTTGCACTTACCTGTGAAAACACAATGTTTTGTGCACTTAGGAATAAGTTGCGAATTAGGGAATAGAAAAAAATGGGACGGGAGACAGACAGGAGGCATTTACTTGTGAAAAGCCAATGTTTTGCGCAGTTTGGAATAAGATCAGCAGCATGCACATTGATGTTTCCACAACAGAGTTTGGAGACCAAAAGATGTGAAAACATCAGAGAGCGAGACAGTACCAACTGGGGTGTGCGGCATGCCGCACACCCGAGTTGGTACCGTAGATGGACGAAATATTCAAACCCCTTCTATCCTGTACAACCCCTTCGCCCCCAAAGTTCAATGTTATTGTAACCTGAAATGCGTTAGCCCCAATGGACGAAAAAAATCAAACCCCTAACATCACTTTTGCTAACGCGCGCGATGAAACATTGAGATTTGGGGGTGCGGGGGTTCAACATATTGCGTGCTGCAGGGTTTGAATATTTTGTCCATCTACTGTCTGGTTCTCTGATGTTTTCACATCTTTTGGTCTCCAAACTCTGTTGTGGAAACATCAATGTGCATGCTGCTGATCTTATTCCAAACTGCGCAAAACATTGGCTTTTCACAAGTAAATGCCTCCTGTCTGTCTCCCGTCCCATTTTTTTCTATTCCCTAATTCGCAACTTATTCCTAAGTGCACAAAACATTGTGTTTTCACAGGTAAGTGCAACCTTTTGTCCCGTCCCATTTTTTTCTATTCCCCGTCCACCCAAATTCCCTAATTCGCAACTTATTCCAAACTGCAAAAAACATTGTGTTTTCACAGGTAAATGCTGCATGTGTCTCTCGTCCCATTTTTCCCTATTCCCTAATTCACAACTTATTTCAACATGCGCAAAACATTGTGTTTTCACAGGTAGATGTGCATGCCTCTCTCGTCCCATTTTTTCCTATTCCCTAATTCACGACTTATTCGTTTGACGTGGCCCTGCCAATGGATTTTGCAACTTGAACAGCATGAGACAGCTCCTAAGTAAAAAAGGAAATATTTTTCTCTTAAAAAGAAGCAGCACGTCACAAATGACATAATCCATTGGCAGGGCCACGTCAAACGAATAAGTCGTGAATTAGGGAATAGGAAAAAATGGGACAAGAGAGGCATGCACATCTACCTGTGAAAACACAATGTTTTGCGCATGTTGAAATAAGTTGTGAATTAGGGAATGGGGAAAAATGGGACGAGAGACACATGCAGCATTTACCTGTGAAAACACAATGTTTTTTGCAGTTTGGAATAAGTTGCGAATTAGGGAATAGAAAAAAATGGGACGGGAGGCACAAAGGTTGCACTTACCTGTGAAAACACAATGTTTTGTGCACTTAGGAATAAGTTGCGAATTAGGGAATAGAAAAAAATGGGACGGGAGACAGACAGGAGGCATTTACTTGTGAAAAGCCAATGTTTTGCGCAGTGAATAAGATCAGCAGCATGCACATTGATGTTTCCACAACAGAGTTTGGAGACCAAAAGATGTGAAAACATCAGAGAGCGAGACAGTACCAACTGGGGTGTGCGGCATGCCGCACACCCGAGTTGGTACCGTAGATGGACGAAATATTCAAACCACTTCTATCCTGTACAACCCCTTCGCCCCCAAAGTTCAATGTTATTGTAACCTGAAATGCGTTAGCCCCAATGGACGAAAAAAATCAAACCCCTAACATCACTTTTGCTAACGCGCGCGATGAAACATTGAGATTTGGGGGTGCGGGGGTTCAACATATTGCGTGCTGCAGGGTTTGAATATTTTGTCCATCTACTGTAGTTAGTTGATTTCTATGGTTTCTGGTAAACAAAACGTGATACAACTATTAATGGCTGTTATAGACCAACAAACACAATTGTTTTGATCCCAACTTGGTAAGAGAAACTGCTCAGTATGGTTGTAAGTAGCCACTTACAAATGGGACAGGCTACTTATGTTACTTATCATACAACATTATACAACCAGAGTTCTCAAGCAATTACGATTCATGGGACCCCAAGATTCGATAATTTAGTTGGTATAGTGTATGGTAGATATAGCGAACTAGTAAACCAACAAACGTAACTGGGGGCCCCAACCTTGACAAGGGGTTTGCACCTCGGAAATGATGGTGGTAAATAATATGGGTAAGGCTTGGTGCAGCTTCAGGTCCTGGGGGTTTTATCATCACCCCTTGGGGTGTAAGAATTTGGTATTGCAAATTGCACTGTGCCTGTGTTCCAAGGCTTGAAGTTTTGGAGTCGCAATAGCCATGATTATATAGTGCAGTCACCCTCCTGCAAACTTAGATAGATGTAGAAAACCTAGCAATTGTAGATCATTTTCTGTGGAAAACCCATGTTTTCCACCTCTTTCTGTTGGCTTACCCTAAGCCCCAGGGTGCATGGCCTGCATGCAGCTGAGTGATCCACCGCGAATCCTCCAAGGACCATCCATCAACCGCGATCTTCGGTGTGGGCCATGATCGAAGACGTGCTGCTCTTGGGGTGCGGCTCCCAGCTGTGGAGGTGGCAGGGGCGCTCTGTTCATATCATATCAGAAGATATTCAAAAATTATAGTCGGCTCGTATCTATAAAATTATTTAAAAATATCTATATATATGTATATATGTGTATATATATATATACGTGATTATTATATTTATATCATACATGTTCTATATGCATAAAATTGTGCTCCTCTAGCTAGTGTTAAGCACCCCCGTGGTCATCCTCCTATCCGATCCTTCAGAATTCATAACAAGCGTCACTTCATCATACAAATCATGGTAGAAGCTGAACAGCACCACTTGACATGAGAGCACATTTTTTACCTGTCCCCCTCACACATCCTTTTAGGAAGCCGGGTGCAGTGATTGGCTGCTCAACTGGCTGAACCTCCACATTTTTGCCTGCTTAAACCCATCAATTTGGCTTGGTTACACCGTTACACCCCACTTATTGCTTCTTAGATGGGCCATGGCTAGCTACAATATAGACATAATATATATATATAGCCAGATGTTTTCAACTGGCTATGTCTCGTGGGTTGGAACCCGGTACCTTAGTTTTGATCACCAATTCGCAACTCCCATGGCCATCATTTTCTTAAACCACGTGATATATACCTAGCACACTTGTCATGTTCATCCATCCATAACCCAACATTCAGTAGCCATACATCAACCCAGCAAGCAAAAAGCATCATTAATGGCAATGTTTTATGACAATAAAACAATGTAGAACATAGAACCTCTATATATGTGTGTGTGTATATATATATATTGATTGCACACGCACACACACATATATATATATATATATATATTTATCAGTACTTTATCATGATTATTATTGTTATCATCATCATCAGCACCATTATCATCATCATCGTTATTGTTATGGCCTTTTTTTCATCGCCATATAGCCATGTGATTGTAGCCATATGGTCATATTATAACTCAAATTATAACCAGATTACAGCCATGTTATAGCCAAGTTATAGCCCTTATAAATGTAGCCACCTACCAAACGACGCAAGAGACGCAACAATGCTGCAAGGCCAGGAGGCCGCGCGGTGTTCTGCGGCAGCCGCACAGAGATCTTGGAGCAGTTGGCCGCGCTGGGCCACGCCTGTCCGCGCGAAGGGGCCGCCGGGCGGAGATAGGGGATTTGATGTGGGCAATTCATGTAGAAATCAAGATTGTGAAGGTTTTTGGAAGGTAAAATGATGATAATTAAGGTATACTTATGATCTACCTCTGGGACAAGTTTAGAGTCGCTATTGTCCGAAAACCTGTGAACATTTTATCTATTGTGCCAATATTTCCAAGGTTTCCTTCACGTTTCCTTCAGCCATCTCAAACACACAATACACCCAGCAAACAGGCGAATTTGTTTGTTTTTGGATAATCACATCCTCCATTTAAATATATTTAGATTGTGAAAAATTGTCGAAGCCAGTAAGTGGTTAGTATTTGAGACACTTAGATGTAGTGATTCTCACAGGTGGGACAACCATGGATAACCGTAACCTAACGCAAATGTTTTGCCATGTTTTGACATGGCACACATCAAAATTGGTGAACCCTCTCTCTCTCTCTCTTTGTATCTCTCTCTCTCTCTATACATATTTATATATATACATATCCGTATATATATTATATCCATAAATATATATATATATATATATCCATATATATATTCGTGCATACATGCATATCTACATACACATACACATACATACACATACACATACATACACATACATTCACATACATTCACATACATATACATACACATAGATACACATACATACACATGCATACACATGCATACACATACATACACATACATACACATACATACACATACATACACATACATACACATACATACACATACGATACACATACATACACATACATACACATACATTTACATATTGGTACATATACATACATACACACATACACACACATACATGCATGCATGCATGCATACATTACATTTCATTACATTACATTTCATTTTAGTACATTACATAGCATTTCATTACATTACATACATACATACATATACTTTTTTTGATGAATCAATGTTTTTGACATTTTATCAAATGTGTGTATAAATATAGAATACATACCGATAAATAAAATAATATATATATAGTGTGTGTGTGTTTATTTATATTTGCAGCAAACGTACAAATGTTGAAGTCGAATACTGGGTCATGGGTCTCAATCACAAGCCATGTACTGTATGCACTTCCAGGATGTTGTTTCATCCCAGGTGAATCCTGCTGACTTCATCATTGACCTGATCTCTGTGCATAGTGAAGGACAGGAATTATGTTTACAAAGGTCAACCAAGATGGTGGATAGCGGAAGACAGATGAAATGGACAACTTGTCGATAGATTTTTTTTGGGTGGCTATACCCTCCAGGAAAAAATATGAAAAAAATCCGGAGGCCCCCTTGAACCCAATTTTTTAGATGACGGTCAGCGGCTAGATCTCTGCGTGGGTTTAGAATGGAGAACAGATACAATATGATGAGCTAAGACCAACGAGATAAATCATCATGAATTACTCCGAAGATATCTATAGCAAATGGCTGAACTTGCGTGCCGCTCAGTTTGGTTGCAGTCAATTGTTTAGTGGCAAAATGGAACAAATGTCGTTATTTCTACTCCTACGCCATTTAGATCCCTACAAAACTTTTATATATGATTCCTTGTGGCACAGATGACATGTCGTTTCCGCAGGAGCACAGGTTGACGAAGACCATCGGCGCATTGCTAGGTGCCTGTTGAGGGTGCTGTGGGAATACTGAGTTTGGATGTGTACAAATACTATGGAAAGTTTATGTTGTAAAGTTGTAAACATCATTATATAATTATATATATATGTATATATAGACACATGACACATGCCTATCATTACAACACACACACATATATATATATATTCATTTATATATTCATATATATATATATATGTGTGTGTGTTTGTATATGCGCGTGCGTGTGTTCAACATATGATTCTTTTATGTACTCGTACATGTTCATTAGGCTCTTAGGCTGGTTCTCTTAATACACACTTAAACACACACACAGAGAAGCATGAAAACCAAACAAGTTTGCACTTGCTTGTATGGTGTACTGCAAATGCATGATTGATTTAATATCATTATATGTGCTACAGCCAATTTTTAACGATAACATGTGCTTATATACTAAAACCTGGAAAAACGATAATGCACTCTTCAAAAATTGACCGTGGCCCATATAGGCCACCAACACCAGTGTACATACTGTAGGGGCCACCAGCCACTACAGGAATTATCAGCCATACATGTAGTTTCACTTCAAAATTACTACAGTAGATTGGTATGATTGTTGGCGGGGAAGAGATGGTTCCAATTTCTATAGTTATATGCTCCAAGAATGAGAGTTTGGTGATGCATAGAGAGAGAGAGAGGGAGAGATGTCCTTTTATAATCTTTTGATATCTTTTTATCCATATCTGATAACATCACAGTGGACAAAACTATTGGATTCAATGAAACCAACTGGATGAAACGTACCCCATGTGTTTATTTCCAGACAACGTTTCCGGCTCAGCTTGGCGGAGAACTTGGCGAGAGCCAAACGTGCAGTAGCGAGGCCACCAGGCCGCGATCGGGTGAACTTTTGGATTTTAAACCAGGGAAACGTGTGGATATCATGGTTTAATGGCAATTTAACTTATAGCTGGTGATTCAATGGGGTTTTAATGGGATTTTATTTTTTTGAATGGGATTTTAATGGGATTATCATGTTTTTAATGTAGAATGATTTAATGGGATATTAATGGGATAACCTCTGGTCAACTAACGTAGCGAACTGGAACATCACCATGCTTATAATGGGTAAATCAATGAACTAAATGGCAATGTTCAATAGCTATGTAACAAATTACCGGAGGGTAATAGACCCCACACGGTCTAAATAAGGCTTTTCTATCTCCATGATACCATATTATATCATGGTGATCATCATGAAACATGTGTGTATAATATTGTATATAATGGTGATAGAATAGCGATATAATCGAACATATCCAAGTCTAAGAATGGGATAATAGTGAGATATAAACATTATAAAACTGTATAGCTAGCCCTAAAATAGGATATTTGAGTGATCCCCGCTAGCAATTTTGGCATGGCTGGCTGGGAAATTCCCGAACTAAATTGGGGTGGTAGTCTGTGGTAGTGGCAAAATCATCAAACAAAATTCACCGCTTTATAGCATACCTTACATACATGCATGACTGCATGTATGTAAATATATATATATATATGTATATATAAATAAACAAATATGTATATATATATATACATATGTAAATATTTGTGTGTATATATTTATATGTAAATATTTATATGTATATATAAAAAAATATTTCAATATATATACAGTATATATGTCTTTGTTCACATATATAAATGTAAATATATATATACACAGATATATTTACATATATATATATAGATTTACAATGATTTACACATATATGTATATAAATATATATTTACACATTTATTTACACACACACATATATATATATATATATACGGAAAAACAATTGGCAAAAAAAAATCGTAGGGTTTGCGGCGCCTCCAGTTGATCCGAGGCATTGTTTGCTTTGGTGAGGCATTTTTTGTTTTCTGATGAGTTTGTAATCCTTGTTTTTCCTTTTTTCTTTGTTCTAGATTGGTCTAGCATGGGTAAATGACAGCGGACATTGTTTTGATTTCAATACCTGCGAACTCAAAGAATTGGTAAATCCAATTTCAAATCTCAATAGCATAACATCACCTAAAACTGGGAACATAGCTTCTGCGTGGCTGAATCTGTCAGCAAGACTGTCATTGCCCACAAAATGCTGTCTCACTGGAATTGTTTGTTGCATTTTGGCATTTGCAGCATCTTTCCAAAAGGCAACGGAAGTGAATACAACCAAATTTGTTGCCATGAAAAGAACAAGGTAAACCAGGAAAAACATGGAAAACCATGAACAAAACAGAAAATTCAGAGGACAGAAGACGGCGGAAAAGGGCGGGAAACGGCGGAAAAGGGCGGGAAAACGGCGGAAAAGGACGGACTCTGAAAATTGAGGTCCAAATCTTGCCGGAAACATGTCCACAAGGTGTTATCAAGTTGCAATCCAATTGACCCAATGGCGATGTAAGACAACGCTTGAAATGTGCAACTATGAACACATATTTACTGTACTGTAGGGTTTGTTTTCTGCATTGTTGTTCTGGCGGTGTTTATTACATAGGAAAATCATGGGAAATCCTTAGCAGTATGTGCGGTTGTTTGTCAGGGGTTTGGTCCCTAGTTGTGAGCTTTGCAACTGCAAAAGTGGCCATGGGGAGTCCAATCGCTTTTGTAAACTCTTGTGTTTGAGGTGTTTTTTGCTTTCCAGAGGCGTTTTTAACTCACCAGAGGCAAAAGGCAACTCATGCGGCGTTATTGTTTTGCCTCGGGGGCCTGAGGCACTTTCTTTTGCCTCTGGTGTTTCTATATGTGTGTCTGTGCCTGTGCTGCATGTGTTCATGTCAAACTGTGTTTGTTTGATTTTCATCCTGCGATGTTTCGATGTCATGGTCACACTGCAGGAGCTCCAAGCTTGACACCGCCTGCGCCGCACAGCAGCACATCACCGTGGCGCGCCTTTCATCTCTTGGTGCGAAGGGCATGGCTCCAGACCTCCAGGGACAAGGTGAGAACCCTGGAAGCCGTCCATGAGAAAATCATGAAGAAAATCACAGATTTGTAGTGTATATTTGAAAGATATGATGTGCGATATATAAAAACTATGACTGTCATAAAAATATATATTTATACACATATGATTACAAGATATGATATTCTGTTTATTTGCTTGGGGGTTTTGATCCAGGTTGGCATGGCATGGAGTTCTTGATGTGTTTTAGCGGGATGGAGGTGGACCCATAAACGAATCTAATAGAAGTTGGATTTGCTGCTGCTTTATGTGGCGGGTGTTGTATGTGTTCCTTACTCCGAAAATTGAAGGTTTCTGCAGGTTTTTAATCCGCTGCTTGCCAATTTGGGTCGGGGCGTCGGCCCATGCCCATACCATCAAATTCATCAAAGCATATTAAGTGCAGACTAAGCCGTTGGGAATATCCCATCCCTGTGTTTTGTTTTTTTTTGTATATGGAGATCATGATCAAAACTTCTGAAAAAATGGATGAACACCTATGACATAGTGAACAGAAACATAAGTACGATATTTTGGTCGGGATGAACTTTCAGAACTCCCCCGAAAAATCGGCCAGGGCACCAACTTCTCGAGGCTCTTAGCCACTGGTGGACTTGGCATTTTGGCAATGATGGATGGTTTCTTCTGTGGATGGACAAAATCCTACTGTTGGTAACTATATGAAACACTTTTTTAATGGGGTTATACTGTGATGCTTGCCATCTAACAACTGGTGCCGGAGTTCTTCCATCCACAGTATTTCTTCTGTTTGTCGTCAGTTTTCAATGAAGTTCAGCCACCTCTGGATGGACTTGGATTGTTAGATTGTTGTGTCCGTTCAAGAACTATTTCTTCTTGGATGGTATAGATTTGTATGTATGTGTATGTATTTGCGGGGTAAGGCCAGGTAAACCGGGGTTTGCGTATATATAGTTATAATATACATATATATGTGATTATATCTAATATTGTATATATTTAATTATATATATATATATATATGATATGTATATGTATCCAAGGAAACGAAAATGGGACCTGAAAGGTTACCGAACAGACTTGACATGATTGGAGCCCCTCTGCGTGGAGCCTGCGCAGCCTGCTCCAAGTACTCAGAAAAATTAAACATGGTGAAAATCCTGGGGTCAAATACCTACTTGTGGCATCTTGTGGGGTATAGGTCTATATCTAAGCTAATCAAGTGTACAGTGTTAGCAACAAACTTGAGAGAGAGAGAGAGAGAGAGAGAGAGCGTTCTCCGAGTGAGGTGCAGCAGCTAAGGCTTCATTTTTGGAGCGCAGTTTGGTTTCTTTGCGCCAGATGACATGCTACTTGTCCAAGGTATTCCAAGGTGGATGGGGAGCCTGTGACATTGGCCTAGTTGGAAGATCGTTGGATTATGTTTATGTTCTTGCAGTATTGGGGACTTTCATAGTTTTGAAAAGGTCAAAGTCTGTAGACGCACTTATCGTAGGGTTCCTTGAGTGTTGGGGCCCGTGTAGAGTCAGAGTGTTCATGTCCCCTAGATTACTAAGTGTAGCACACTACGCCTATGCCATCACCCCGGGCTGCGCCGCTCTTTGCTTCCTGTAGCTGTAGCCGTGTCTGCTGTTCTTCCGTTACACTTGGAGTGTGTTTTGTGGTCATTTTGGTACCGAATGGTATATTGAGTCATATTGAGTACTGAGCCCACAAGGGTTGCTGTGGATCATGTTTCACTGGATTTCTGGTGGATTCATCGCTGTTGGTTTGGGTCATTGGAAGGTACACAAACTCAGATGACCGATGACTGTGTAAGCGGAGCAATCTCTCGGTGATTGGAGATTTAAGATAGATTGCAGATCTCATTGGTGTATCTAGTTATTTTCCTTGCTGGTGTTTTTCTGTCCCTACCTGGTATGACTAGCCGCAGCTCAACAGCATTGGGATTACTAAACAAAACCTAGTATTACAATCTATTAAGCAGCGAAACCTACTGTTAAAATCTATTAAGCAGCACCTTGCCTCAGCATTTCACCATGTATCACCTGCAACTGCCAAGGACAGCTGTGTCTGTGACCTCACGTGTTGGGCCAGCCCAGCACACTATGTTTGTAGGTATACTGGTGGTTAATAGCCGGACAGAAAAACAGACGACAGTAGATATATCCCCCTTGGTTGATATGTAGGGGTGTATGTATAGCCTGCATTGTATATAGCTTCATAGATGCAGATTGATGCCAGTGGAAGCAGGTGCTGCGGACATGCTGCAGTAGGCTGTCAGATTATAAGGATAGATGCGTATCGAAGCGGGAACCGTTCTGCTGAGAGCTGCTTCGTAGCTTTCAGTATCATCCCGGAATTGGACGATGTTTTTTTTTGCAAAACCACCTTGTATCATTATGTTTCAAGGTAATGGCCATAGTTTTCCAGAGTTTTTCCCATAAAAACAACCATTGAATCTCCATTTTGGTCGATTACAACCAATTTCTTCATCATTGTTTGATGGTTATAAGTTATATGATGTTAAACAGTGTTAAACTGCGCATATTTTTCA